TCGATATGAATTCTAAAGCTAAATATACATTTCGCTCGACCGTCATATTATATTACAGGCCTGTGTTATATAAAAAATACATTAACACTTCGAAGCACGACGCTGATCTAAATGACGATTAAAAATTCAGTTCCTATCTAAAAGAAAACAAAGCGACAAAGATCAATTGGTTAATTCTGCTTCAGGAAATATGGCCATTTATTCTGAGAATCAAATAAAAACCCATATATACACTATATAAGCAAAATGCAGTGTTACTGAATGCTAAAGGAAGTGGTACATACAAGTTACCAATATGCTTTAGAGAGTTAACAAAAGACACGACTGCTCATTTCTCGAGTAACTTCTCCCCCCCCCCTCCCCAAATGTAAAGACCCAACATTATATGGCACTAGTATCCCTCTTACATTACAAGTTTGTGTGGCCGCCATGTTGGTGTTACTGGTGGCAGAAAATTAAGACGTACTAAAGCCGGGTGTCATCTACTAGCATGATGTTCATGTGAAGTTTCATTATGACCATGCCACGATGTGATATTCGTCGTACCCAAATACTTGAACTTCGTCAGTTTTGCGAAGGCTAAAGGCCTATAATATAATATAATTAGTCATATTTAGGCCTATATTAATATTCTGGCGACGATACAGTGCACTCAGTGTTATTATTTCCCATCTGATCTCCTACACGCCATACAATTTAAATTATAAAGCAGATTAAAAAATGTTATCGAGAAAATCACACATACATATTAACATTTTTCTATAAAATGGAAACGCAATTTTTGTTTCACTCTATACTTTGCTCAATCTTCTACTACCTTTTCTCAATAAATCTGCCCTAAAGAGAGACGTTACTGAGACTCCTTTGCCTGTTAGTTCATACAGAAATGGAACTACGAGCATACATAATTTGGTTAAATAATCTCGAACAGAGCACAGTATTAGTTGGGAGATAAAGGCAACTTGAGACCACTTAAGAGCCCTAGATGCTAAACTAACTAAAAGGATTAGAGACGCTAACAGTATGCCCAGCCAGCCAAGAAGTTGATGCAAATGGGAGAATACGAACAGGGAAGTACCTCAATGAAATAGGGTGTTACGTTGCGCGCCAAGTTCAACTGGCTCAGGAATGGTTCCAATGGAGGGCTTTGTGTAAGCGGTGCCTAACCTTTAGGTCCCACAAACGGAGGGGATTTCTGGACCAGCTGAACAAATATCATCTACTCGATAAGCCACTGCATCGTATGAGTACTCATATTAACATGTCGCAGCATTACAGTCTCAAATATGATTGTTTCTGTCTACTCATTAACGACATTCTGGCAACTGCAAAGGTTCTAATTCGTTAATAAATTGCGACGAGAGTGTGTTTGTTAAGAATGTTGGAGTAGTCGGTCGTGGCTTATTTTAGTGTTGCCCGAACACATCCTGTCTCCGTGCCTAAATTCCCTGTGGACCTCCAGATAATTTAGTAGAAGTTCTGATTTCTTCAATAAGACATTAATGCCATTTCAAAATATAATCGACGACAGACATGTAAAGCCAGTTCTAAACGATTGCAGATTCCAAACTTAATGAATCCTTGCTTTCTAAGGCCGAATGTCTCAAAAAGTAGACCACAACCGCTTCCTTTTAAATTTCGATGTCAAATCACCTACGTAAGTAGCTAAATAATCTACAAGCCTTCGCGAGGACGTCATTTAGTCGATCCAACGTTGCAACTCCTATCCAAAACAAAGGTTAAACTGCTAGCGTTTTTAAGCGAAATATAGTTCGTCGGAAGACGACCGAATTCTAGCAAAATATTTTTTTAAAGAACAAATAAAAGTGGTAGTACACACTTTAATTCCACGAATATGAATCCTAAATCAGAATCACGTTTGTTTGAAAGAGGTTTGCTAAATTAACTTGTACTTAAAAAGAAACACTAAGGAGCACGGTGTAATCGATTTATTTTTAGAATAAACAGTTAAAAGTGAATCCAGTTTTTTTTATACAATTATTGATGCAGCCTTCGAAGTTTTGATATTACACTTTTGGTTCCACAAAGTTCTTATATTAAACACAGGATTTATTAACATTTCGGTGTCAATGTTTGAAAAATAAAATGGTCGCTGACTCAACTGTCGGCGACTTAGCGCGATTCGGACGCAAAGTTAGCTTCTTCTTTAAACATTTACATTTTTTATAAGAAGTTCGTGCAGCTTCAGACGAATTCGATTTCTTTTCGAACGCCTGCAGTGTAACTTTAGCTTAAGGACAATTACATAAAATCGACCGCGACAGATATAGACCCCAGGAGGCCGCTTATAGGTAAGGAACATCAAGTTATGAGGACAAATATTTCGAATCGAAGTAAATGACATCGGCGACACACCGAAAAGACCGCGAGGAACTGAGATACGCTGAAACGTGTCGAGGAACGCGATCGGCTACCCATTTCAAGACTGATGTACCTATAGTAAATATAGACAACAAAGAAAGACTTTTCATTTTCAACACACACTACCCCCTTCCCCCTTCCAGTAGCAATTTGATTACTTTTCTTTCGTTCTCTTTCCTTCCTAGGTGCTTTCGCAACTAAAAGTTGACAAAACACACTCCAGGCTTCACAATCTATTCACCCGAATGTAACAACTCGAGAATAGTCGAACAGATTTTCAAAAAAATTGATTCTGAGAAATTCTAATGAAGTTTGTCGATACATAACAAGTCTGGTTAAAATCGGTCAACAATAACGGGCACGTTAAATGAAGATACGCATGCCTGTTTGTGGGAAAGTGACTTGTGGGGAATCCCCAGCCAGACGAGCTGGAATCCCCTGATGACGTCATTGCTGACACAGGCGCCAGGCATCCCGCCCACGCAAAGGTCACTGACCCCAGAAAACTCTGACGTTACTGGTACCACTCGCAAAGTTGGAAGTTCGCATTCTGATGACCAAGTCAGAACTGATTCGCCATGCTTGCATTTCATAACTTGTTTACTATGAATTTAGACCTGAACTAATACACACACAAACTGAAGGTTGGCTTCAATTTGGAATTTAATCACGACATATTTATCGACCTCTTGTGTTAATACTTCAAATTCTAAAAACGAGATACTATCACTTCCTGCTCAGTATATATTTAACGGTTACAGTTAAAGTCCGTATTCTCATCTGTACATATTGTAAAAGAAGTTCTGTGTGGCTTTCAATATATGGATCTTTTCAATGAAAATGAAAATTTTGTAACAAGTGGAACAACTTTTTCTTTATAAAACTCAGCATGAAATACATTAAATTAGCCGATACATGTTAATTACTCGTGAGATAATAAAATTATTAGTTCTTAACTGGCCAGAAGGAACTGCAAGATATAGTAGCCCGGAGGCACGCATTACCCGGTAGCAATAGTGTAGCTAAATCTCGCAGCTCCCTTGCTATTCAAAATTGAATAAACGAGTTCCTGAGATGATCAAACGATGTATAGTAAGTTCATGAACGTAGGGTTTATTAAGTGATTAATTCACAACGTTAGAGAAAAATGTATACTCCCAGGAAATTTAAACTTTTTAAGTCCAAATGTATCAAAGCCTGAAACAAAATATGAAATAAGAACAATAACATTCTTAGAGATGAAAGCAGAAAGGTTTACGTAGAATTTTCATTTCGGTTTCTAAAATGTTAAAAACCACCATGTAATGAGAACGTACCAGTTTCATACACGTACTTTTTTAACATTGTTCAAATACATAATCTACTTCGACAGCACTGCAAAAGCAGGAACATTAAACTAAGCCTTCCAAGAAAAAGCAGTTCGAAAGTAATACATTAACAAGATTAATTTGCTGTATATAAATATGATAACCAGGCTATAAGAGGTTCAGTTAAGGATTACAGAGATGCCGATAACTTTGTTGCCAGTTTATTTTCATCTTATAACGAAACATGAATGGTCACTGAGACACGGTATGAAGATAACTAGCCATTCTGCATGCATTATAGGTCAACTGTTAGATGTGATATGTTTTATCACCACAAAGACAGACTTGAGAGATATGAAATATACTTTTAAACTAGTTACTTATACTTTCGACGTAAATTCATATTCCACTGAGTGATTCCTAAATTTAGAAAAAGTTATGTGAAATTTTAGTCAGAGCCTGAGGTAACCTATCAATGTCACTTAACTATTTTAACGTCGCCGAATTTCTGGAATGCGTATCATAGTAACGTAAAACTTAGCCTTAAATGGTAGATAAGTAAAAACATTTCTCTCTCTACCAATAAAATCACAGTAATATTTAGTTTTTCAGCAGACGCGCGTTGGGTGTTTATGCCAACATCAGTATTCCCTACAGGCCCAAAAATTACTGTCGCTCATGATCTCGGGAATGTGCTGTGCAGTAAGCATTAGTTGAATAATCTAGCTTGATATCTAAGTGGTGTTCCGTTAGTTTACAAATGGTAATGCCAAGGGCCACTGCCTCAACAGGTGAACAAACTCACTGACCCGAACGAGAGACAACCTCTACCTGTTGCTCGCGATCTTGGCTGGGTTTGTGGTTCCTCTCCTGATGGCAGTAGTAACAGAACAATCACAGGCCATTAGAAAATAATAGCTCATTGCAGTGTAACGTTCCACGAGAACAGTGGACGAAGCATCTACACGTGTCTCCGACCTGTCAGACAACATGAAGCTACACCCAGCACAGCTCATCTCTTGCACTTTGTTTACGAAAAAATATATTTTTGGAACATGCTGAAAAGAAAGGTTATTGTAAACGGTATGTTTACATAACACGGTGACCACTTTCTTTAGTAAAGTTAGAATAGTCTGTTAGTGTTGGAGGGCTTAAATAAAACCAAAATCATTGATAAAAGTGTCGTAAAGGTTAAATAATTTGTAACATTTAGAATCTATAAAACTCGAACACACGTGGCCATCACTGAAATGTTACTTCCTGTAATTCATAATCAAGTGTTCGTCACGCAATTAATTTGGTTGAACTTACCATTTGGAAGCATTCAAAAGGTAATCCAAATAATATCCAAAAATGGAGGGGTAACACTAACCACCAATCCACAATATCCAAGAATTCTGCAAATAACCGAAAATAAAATTCATAAATCACGGAAGCACTGCACTGTATCACTGAACACAGCACACGCACAGTCACTCAACTTGCAATAATGGCGTCATTTCCTTCCTGCCGCAACACGATGTTCAAGTGTCAGTAACGAAATGGAAGGTTCACTTTCGCGTGCAACAACACAAGGCTGACAGAGTCTGTGGGAAGGGAGAAGGCCACCTGACCTCCCCTCCCTTGGCCTCATTCTCTCCAAGTGCAAGTCCCAAACAGTCCAGCACTACTACATAATGTGACGGAGTGAACGTAATTAATGTTATCGTATTAATAAAAACAAACACAACGCGTCTCTAACACACCTCGCTACAAGTATTCCGTATCAGCCTGTAAATTAACCACACCCAAAGAGTAGATTCCTTCTTGCGAAGCAGATAGTCTTTCAACTGATTAAGAAATGACCAGTCGTCTTTGGAAACCAAACGTTTTTACCGTGTCCACAAAAACCTGACAACCAGACAAATTCCGTCCGCACACACTCTTTAGACCAATTTGATTATTATCCTCTCATCTGCGCTTAGGTCTTCCAAGTGGACTGTTTCTATTTCCAACACCAATTTCGTATGTTATGGTATACATGTCCTGGCATCCAAAAATAAAATCATAGGATCTAAGAAAGTGCAAGAAAATGATTAGTCTCGTTATCAAAGTAACAGTAATGATAACGATTAAGATACGAAATCAGAAGGGCCCGCCATATGTCCATATGCTGAGCTAGATCAATCAAATCCTTACGACCGTCATCTGAAGTATCCTCAACCTCTTGCAAGCTTTACATTCGTACCCAACAGGCATATTATAGTTTTGTATACTTGAATCTTTACTTTTGTACAGGATGGGTGGGAAGTAAGTAGGCATTAAATAATCGCTATACATTGGAAATATAGAGGTTATAACCATTTCTCAATGCCTACTTACTTCCCAGCCATCCTGTAGATAGCAGAAGGAAAACAGATGATTCCGAACAGCGGTGTAGCAAGTCTGCCCCAAAATTACTCAACCATTTACTTTCATCGTAAACGAAATTTTGATTTGTAGCTGTCATTCCCAATACAACGTAATGGAACTGTCTTAAAAACTGTTATAATGCAAAACTATCAACATTTTTCCAGAATAAACTTTTTGGAAATAAACTTAAATTTCCATATCATTTTTCCCTTGGACGAAGCTTTTAGGAATTGCATAATATATATTGTGTATTTTATTTAGGCCTACATTAATTTAAGTTATAACTTATATAAGACGAACTAGTTTACTATGAATCAGAGAAACCAAATTAAAGTAAATTTAACAAACTTCGAAAGAAGGAGAGTGAAAGGATACGCAATAAGATCCCTGAAAGCAAATTACGGAACAGCAAATAGGACGCTGCGAAATGAAGACAGGTAGCATTGCTTAGCAAACAAAGTGATAAAATCTGTCAAGAAGCTACTCAGGCGTACAGCTTGACTACGAACTCTATAAAATTAAGAAGTTCGTGTAAACTACATATGATAAATATGAATTTTAGTACGTCTATCCGTCAGGCCATTCAGACTGAATTAAGTCTTGAACTCAGTACCTTTGCAAATGATCATAAGTCAGCCCCCCCCCCCAAAAAAAAAACAATACAAATCCTTTAAAAATGGTACAGATTCAAACTCCGAGGAAATTCTTTGATCATTTTTAAATATGTCATATTTTCTAAAGGGCAACTCAGACAAAAACGACAAATAAGAAATGTCTGCGTTTAGCAGAGCATTTCCTGAAAGCAAATACGAGCAAACAAAATTTAAATTTTTAATGTTTCACAAACGCGCGCACATGAAATGAAATAAACTGCTAAATTGTAACGTAGCCGCAGGATATTTACAAATAAGCGAATATAATATTGGTATCTATCGGAGACAACAATATATTATATTGAGGAATGAATCGAATGTTCCAAAGTCAAACGCAGGGTGATTAAATTGGACTTGATTTAGATTTTACGTTTAATGCGCTCTGTGTACCACGAAAACAGAATTTCAGTTTAAAAAAGCAAAATTATTTACTTTTAGCAATGTCTAGAAAAAATAGAATGTGTAAATTATTCAACACACTAAAGAAACAAACAACAACAACAACAAATGCTGTTATGTGTACAAGTGAAAATTCAGAAAAAGAATCCGTTGAACCAGATTATGTTTCATTGCATTTATCTGGAAATTGATATTAAAACTAAGTAACTGATATTAGTGTGATATTACTAAAGAGAAAACTAAGGCCACCCAAAGTTCACTGAAAAAAATTCGTTGAGTCTTGTACTGGACTCTCTGGACGAAAACGTGTAACCCATGGAACTTAATAATAACTCTTTCGGATAGCACAAAATGGATGCACGGTTTCTTAAATTAAGAGTGCTGATACGACATCCAATAGAAATAAACTTACCACATGCCAAACAGACACAGACTGACCTACCCTTACCTGAAACAGAAAATAAACAGTCAGCCAGAATCCCAAACTAAATGTTCAACTGTTCGCAAGTATTTCTAATTTTATTTGCCACACCCACACAATTATAACAAAATGGGGGCCAGTATCGTCATAACAAGAAGCCCAGTTCTTCAGTCGATCTGTAGTATTCAGCCAGCAGTCTAGAAAGTCAAGAAGTTCTAGGAAGACCTTTCCATGGTTGTTCTTCAAATACTTAAAAACAATCTACAGAGCGAAGGCAGTATTTTTATTATTTAGTGTTCTGTCTGACGACAGGTCCATATGAACAGGATCCTTCCATCCTTTTCTCGGACTGGGACCTGTTCATATATGTTCTTGGCAGATGATCCAGAAGTGGTTCGCCATTGCCTTCTTCTGTGTGTGAATGGAGTAATTGTTGGGAAGCCACGGAGAAACCGGGGAAGCCCCGGGAGGAAAACTCCGTGTTGCCTAGACCACGGCCTTGCCAAGTTTCATAAAATTCAGTCAGTTGTTTCAAAATACATTAAGGGACCAGGCAGACGAGCACAAGAATAAGCCTGCAATAGGTTATCTTTTGTAACCGAGTAAGTAAAGTGGGCTAAGAAGGTTAGTTTTTTATCATACAACAAAACCTTGCTTTAATTCCAGATTAAATTATCAAATGTTTTTGATTGTTTCATCTCCCGTGAAAACAGACCCTTACTTTTCAAATAATGCCGGTACACTGTACGTTAATGTTTTTCATACCTCGCTGGCCTTCACGTTGATCTGTAAAAATGTCTGAAGCAAAAGTTACAGTCTATTAGGTCACAGAAAGAGATCTTTCGTCATTCGACAAGTGCATTATGCGTCATTTTCAGAAAATGAAAATCGCGGAGAAAATAATAAAATGAGAGTGAATCGTGTTCCAGACGTACACTGAAACAATTTCTATAACTTCCTGGACAACTCTGTTCGCCTAGCTGAAATAATAGCTTGCCTGCTTGTCCACTACGGAAACGCATGGCGAGACGACCATATTTGCATACTAATTTCACCTTGCTCGGATCCCTGATATGAAATTTATTTATTTAAAGAGGGTGAAAGGGGAAGGGTGCACTTGGTTCGGTGGGACATGAACTATGGCACTGAATTTTGCAGTACTCACTTGAATGCGGAAAGAAGAAAGGCAAGGAACCAAGAATAACATAAATAGAAAAATAGAGAATGGTAGAGTGAGTAAGCAGAAGAAAAATTGTTAAGCTTATGACTGTTGGAGTCTAGGAATCCACTGCCATGTGGTCCTGACCCACTTGCTGCCATGGACGGCCAAGCTGAGCCCGACCAAGGGCAAACCCGGAAGTAATGCTGGGCAGGCTACGATCCGGGTCATTGTGAACCAGTGATCATGAATAGGGAAGGGAAAAAAATTACATAAGATCTGTAGTTTGTTATGATAGCAAAACCCAAGGGCTCGTGGCAGGAAATCTGAATTTTGATTTCGGAAGAAATTAACACTGGCATCGCATGAACCGCATATAAGCAGCGTAAAGTTATACTAAAGTTTTGTGACTGTGATTATCATGTAATTACTTAATATTAACATGATATATTACAGACGTAATATGCTAGGAAGTAAAATGGACTGAACTTTCGTAGCGAGATGTTGGACCATCAGATCTCGCAACTCCTGCACTATGGAACAGGCAGCTAGAAATTTCGAGTCAACTCCACGATGTGAACTCCTCTTTATTTAGTGACAATGAAACATTTTAATTTATACAACGATCAATATGAGATGCCATGGGGATAAATACAAGAAAACTGATCAACAAGAATATGTATTTATACGATTATCACAATAAATAATTAAATTATTTCAGAGCAGTTTATTTTTAGAAAGACCCTGCAAGGTACCTTGACTTTCGCTGATAATAGGGCTGGAGAAGATGGTATGCTCTATTAAGAACAGAAAATCTGCCTTAATTTATTAGTCGTAAGCACTACGCCTCAAGGCGACAAGCCGTTCGCCCACGCCTGTTCAAGGCACGGTGCAGTAACACCATTAAACGACTTGCCTACAGCACTACTATGATGATACGATGATATCATGATCTAAAGTAAGCCAATGTCGACTATCACCATAGACAAACGACAGGCGGCCTCCTCACTGCTCTTGATACTAGGCCTCGGCTTCCTACAACCTTCACGATCCCCACTCCAGCAGAGCAGTCAGAAACGAATCGACCCTTTGACAAGCATTTCAATAACAAGAATTAAGGCTGTCTAGTGCTTCGGATCATAAAGTTAACGATTCGAATTCGGAAGATCGGCACCACTGTCTTAGATGGATTTTCTCAGGTTATTTTTGCAAATATTATAATAATGCTTTTAAATATACCCCGTGTAGTGTAGTAGAAGTTACCGATGTTTCAAAGCTGGTTGCTGCCTCCACTGTCAGGGTCCGGTGATGATGCGGGCAGCAAGCACCTCTGAAACGTCGGCAATATCTACCAGATTACATGGAGCAACATTCCAGAAGGCAGTCATCTTCATGACATGCGTGATTTACAGCCAGTGACCTTGCTATTTTAACGTATCTGATTCCACGTAGTGTCCGAGGCAACATTAAGCTCTATTTACAATTTAGAAAATAAATTGTT